ACCGGCGCCCTGCTGGGGCTCGCCTACTGCCTACAGGCGCTGGTAAGGCGGCGGGCCGGGATGGGGCGGGCAGGCCGCGGGAGGCGGCCGAGGGCGCAGCCGAGGGTCCCCCTCGCCCTGACCGGGCAGCCGCTGGGCAGCGGGGTAAGGAGGCGGCCCGGGAGCCGGGGCTGTCGAGGGTCTAGGAGGGTTTCAAAATCGGACAGGGACAGAAGAGCAGTGCTCGCCCCATTACTTGACCCAGGGGGATTTGGGGGCTTTCTTCGCAGCCGCCCCCTGCAGCGCAGCAGCGCTCCTGTCGGAGCCGCCAGCCAGCTGCGGGTTTGCGCTGCTGCCTGCGCCCGTACCCCGGGGTGGCCGCTGGCATGGCTAGAAAAACAGCAACGAAGGTCTGGAACAAGCAGGTGATGAATCAGGCACTCACTTGTGTTTTGGGTAGCTCACATAGAGAGTTATGCCTGTGGAAAGAGGGACAGGAACAGGGAATGCTAACAGCTTTGGAGTATAAGTCTGGTGGTTTTTTACCCCAAACTTTATACAAGTAGTCATGTGTGGTTAACTGGTGAAATAAGAGTTTGTGAGCATTGCTGTTGGCTTAGGGCTTTTTGCTCCATGGGCAGGAATGTTGGACATGAATTTAAAAAGTTATCTCTGATACCGTGTAACATGCATGCCAAAATTGTGTCTGGCTACATATCAAACATGAAGGCAACGTATTTTAACAAAGCCATTAAAATAAAACCTCAAAATGATCAATGCCATCCCTTCTGATGCCAAGCAATACAAATTACATTCTGTATATCCCCAAGATCCTTTGATCAAGCTTAGTGTCAAGTATTTGTCCAATAAAAATTTAAGTATGCAGTAACACTTCTACTTGTTAAGCATGTGGATTAAAATAATACTAGTGATTGGTAGCTGGGTGGGATGGAGAAAGCTCCATTAGAAATTGACTGTGGATAAATCAAACCTAGAAATGTGAACATCTGAACTATTTAATGATTGACATAAAAGATTTACCTTAACAGTTAAGCAGGCGTGGTTAACTTGTGCTCTCCTTGAAGTCACACAGCGTGCTTGCAGTGAGGAACTGGTTATAAAACACTGAATCTTGACTCTTCTGTCAACAGAAACATGAATGAATGACTTCAGGAAAAGGATTATGCAAATATTGCAATGAATGTTCTTAACAAAACATTCCAGTATTTACTTCCTTTTGAATGATTTATGGTCACACGTGTATGTGTGTCACAGGTTTGGGGTATCTCAGATGGCCAGAAAAATACAAGGGAAAACCATGAACTTGTATTGTGTATATAACTTCTCTGCATTTTATCTGAACAGCAACACAGACGAAACACAAGTATTTCATATTTAAGCAGGGTAATAGATGAAAGCAGGGAAGACAATAAGAAGCAGAAAAACTAATGAAGTGTACATGCTCGTTCCTTACCCCTCCTAGGCAGGCTACAAGCCAACAGCTTGATACGCAGTACTCCAATCCAGACTATGTCCGAGAGACAAAAGCTGTGCTGTATTGCATAGGCATGTTTAGGGAACCAGCAGATCAAGACACTGTAGCTCCCTCAATTTGGTTCTTGGCATGTTCCCAGCTGCTGCCTCTCATTCTCCTCAACATTGGAGCTGTGCAGAGCCAATGTTGAAACCAGTATAACCCGGTGGCTCTCCTTCACTACCTGTCTCTAATACAGTCTCTTGACCGGACAGCAATATCATGGATCTGATTCTTCTAACTTAAGAGCTGATAGATCTATTAGCATAGATCAGTGGTTAAAGTTGTTAATTTCCCATACAGAACGGAACAAGGCTTGTAGTGGGTTTAGGGCTGTAATACTTCTGAAGTATTCCTAGGCATGAGCTACATACAATATTAAAGGTGTATACAGTATAGCTCAGTAGCAGTATTCTTTATTTTGGAATAATGTTACCCATTATGAAGTTGATAAATAGATACTAAGTTGTGCTTGTTCTCTTTCTGGTGTTTGCCTCATCTTCCTCACACCTTTGAAAGATAATTTTTTACTTAAATGCTGACCTGAAGGGATAAATATTATGTCCCCTGTGCTGGGACTATGTTTAAAAAAAACAAAAAACAAAAACCCCACAACACTCATAACCCCCTCAACCACTCAGAAGTAAAATATTCTGAGGATGTCTGACTGCTACTGAGAGAAAACATCAGTACTACAGTTACTGTCCAGTATTGAAGGACTGAAGGGGTTCTACAAGTATAGAGATTTTTCATTCAAGACTGTAACTACTTACTTCATTTATTGCAGAAATTTGGATTAAGGTCTCCAAAGTGATTGTGCTGGTAGAACAGCTTCCATTGGAAGGGTCTCCCAAGTTCTGATAAAGCCATGTTGTGCTGCAAGTGAGCCTCAAGTCCAGCAAATCTTAACACTTGTTTTTTGTGTGCTTAGGGTGAATATTTTGATCAGTCACATGTTGCTCTACCAAATGTTTCAAAGTTCTTCTTGCATCAAGCTCTGGAAGAGAGAAAAGCCGCAGAGGCTTTGATGAAGTATCAGCAAGAAAGAGGAGGCCATTACTGTTCTAAAACCATCCAGGTGGGTAGTAGACAACCAGCTTTCAAGCAGTTTCAATCTGCAGTAATTACTCTAAGTTCTTGCATTACATTGTTTGTACTTCAGATCTCTGCATTCATCCACTATTAGATTTCCAAATATAATTTTCCTGTCATATTAGTATGCATGGTTTTGTTCTTGATTGTGATGCCTAGAAACTGTCAGACATACAGTCCTAACTCTTACGTGGCTGCTGTCTAGCCCAAAAGAATATGGCCCCCTTTTATTTTCACTCAGCTGGAGACTGCTATTTCCAGTGTGCTGTAGTGGATTATGAGTCTCCTTAAATTGTGCTGAAACAGCCCACTCGTCTCCTTCACAAGTGAAACTAAATAGAAGCCTAGAAGCCATGAGCACCTAAGAGGGGTGGTAAGGGAGGAGGTAGGAGAAACCTCCAGCTTGGGGCAGTAGTTGATCTGCTCAAGACAGAATTTCAACTAGAGATCTGACTCAGGCTTGCACAGGTAGAAAGGAATAACTCGAAGTTATCAGGAGAAAAACCCCACCTTATTTGTTAAAGACCAAGGGGCTGATTCTCCTCTACCAAATTAGTATTTTCTAAATAGTTGATAAAGAATGCTCTTTGGCTTGTCATAGCAGTTGTTAAGCTGTAGAAAGTAAAAATAAAAAGAGCGTCTTGAAAAAAAATTTCTAAATATTCAGTCTGAATCAGGGAAGATCTTATAGCAGCCTTCCAGTATTTAAAGGGGGGCTCTTTTGCAGGGATTCTAGTGATAGGATGAGGGGTAATGGTTTTAAACTGAAGGAGGGTAGATTTGGATTAGATATTAGGATGAAATTCTTTGCTGTGAGGGTGGTGAGGCACTGGAACAGGTTGCCTAGAGAAGCTGTGGATGCCCCATCCCTGGAAGTGTTCAAGGCCAGGTTCGATGGGGCTTTGAGCAGCCTGGTCTAGTGGAAGGTGTCCCTGCCCATGGTGTGGGGGGGTTGGAAGTAGGTGATCTTTAAGGTCGCTTCCAACCCAAACCATTCTATGATTCTGTGATAGTGCTTTCTGGTGTAAGAATGCTCCTCAGGCATAGATGCTGCTATCTAAATCTCTGTTCTTTGAGGAAAAAAAAAAGTGCTTGGGTTCTTCCACTTCTGTAGATTTACAGCCATCTAACTCTGCAAAAAACAACAGATGCTCCAAACTAGGAGTTATTGCAAAATCCTAGCACACCTTGTTTAGAGTGCCAGGTAAGTTGCAGGAAACTATCAATGAACTCAGTAAGATGAGCTGGTTTCTGAATAAATGTCTTCTGAATAAATTCTGTCTTTGTTTTTAGAAACCAAACTGTGAGTATGCAGTCGGTCTGATGAAAGCCCTGGAAGTAACAATGGTACAGTGGAAAACTATGATACGATATTTTGAAGAGCTTTATGCCCTGAGTATTGAAAATGCAGACCCTCATAGCGCAAGCACTATCAAGAAACAATTTATCAGGCCCAAAATCCAGAAGATCAAGATGATGGGAGATCTGCTGACCAATGCTCGCAGGCTTGACTGTTCCCAAGATGGCAGAAATAGTCTTGGGGATTACTTTATGGACCGGTTGCAGAAAGAATTCAAAATGGGCATAGAACCAGAGTCTAGTCAGCACTGCAGCCCCTGCCCGCCGCTCCAGCAGTGTACAGGAGCTGCAGAGGGTCTGAAGCGACCCCAGAGAGAATCTTCCCAATACAGAAATGGGATAGGGCCAATATATGCAACTATACACTGCACTACCACACTGCCACAGTGTAATGATGGGACAGGGGCAAAAGTGAAGCAGGGCAGAGAGGGACTTTAATGCTGTGGCTGTTGCAGCTATGGGGCAGCTCCTAAGGCAGACCTGTACAGAGGGTGACCTCGAGACCAGAACTCAGGAGACATGATGCTGTTATCACTCCTCCTGCTTTATACCTTGTCCCCTTGTCCTCCGTTGAGCCACAGCTCAAAATCTAGCGCCTACCATTATTTTGTTTAAATGATAGCCAGGTTGCTAGTTACCTAGGTTGTTGGCATTAGTCACGCTTTTACCTGTGCAATTCCTAGAAGCCAAAAGCTCTTAAGCCTCTTTTCTGTCTTAAATGATTAATAGCATTAGTTAGTGCAAATTATTTTTTAACACATATATGTAACTTCTATTAAAAAACCCACAACTTTAGTACAAGGAAACTTCTACGTGGCAGAAAAATTCAAAGATTTAGTTTTATATTAGATATTTTATATTACTGATATTTTACATTACTAACAAGTATATCAACGTGAACTTTTTAAGAAGTCTTGTTTTAAAACAAAGTTTTCTTGTCTTATTTCTATCATAGTAGCAGTTTAAATAAGTAACCTAATTCATTTACTTATCACCCAGCTATTTCTAGTGGTATACTTCTCCAAGATGAAGGATGCAGACCTTTCCTCAACAGTGGGAATAAGACACTGTGCTGGTTTTCTCCACAGTTATTTGTCTAGTTGGCTTTTCTCATCCTCAGAAAGCAGATGAGAGATAAATTGGGCATTCTCATTAGATGTGATACTGACAGGTTCTAGTGTGCATTTTCCAAGTGCCACTGAAGACGCTAGCTGTCCAGACCTAACCTAGGATGGTTGCCTTAATTACCATACAGACCTCTATTTCAGGTAGCTAAATTATGGTATACTTTGTGTCCTGGTTTTGGCTGGGATAGAGTTAATTTTCTTTCTAGTAGCTGGTATAGTGCTGTGTTTTGGATTTAGGATGAGAATAACGTGGATAACACAGATGTTTTTGTTACTGCTGAGCAGCACTTGCACAGAGTCAAGGCCTTTTCTGCTTCTCACCCCACCCAGGCTGGGGGTGCACAAGAGGTCCCATGGCTGGGACAGCTGATGCCAATTGACCCAAGTAATATTCTATACTACGTGATGTCATGCTAAGTATATAAACTAAGGGAAAAGCTGGCTGGGTGGTGAGCAATTGCATTGTGCATCATTTATTTTGCATATTTTTATCATTATTATTTTTCCTTTCTTTTCTGTCCTATTAAATTGTCTTTATCTCAACTCACGAGTTTTACTTTTTTTTAATTATTCTCTTCCCCCATCCTGCTGCAGGGGAGTGAGAGAACGGCTGTGTGGGGTTTAGCTGCCTGCCAAGTTAAATCATAATACGGTACTACTGCTATTTCTTGTATTCCCTGTCTTGCTCTTCAGTAGAGGAATAAAATCTAGTGAAAATGCATTTAACTAGAATTGCATCATAAAGAGTGGCTACTCATTAGTTTTGCATTTCAATTAGGGTGGTGTTCAATTTGGGGGGCTATTAGCACCAACGTATGTTGGCCTTTACTTAACCAGCCTGGTTAAAGTTCAGAGGTGGCCAAGTTCCTTCCATTCATCTCCTA